TTGATTTATCGCTATTATAAATGGCTGCCGAATAAATCAATCTTATGATTGGCCATTCAACGCCATTTTTAATATTTTCTAGTACTTTTGCGATACTGCCATAAGCCGGTCGCGCTTCTCTGATAATCTAGGACTCTAACTATAGCTAACGATCATCGGTCGGAGTCACGTAGACATGATTTCGCTTACACGGCCCTTAATTGTTTTGTAATTTTTTTGTTATATTTATTATCTTATTGTTTTATAATTGTTTTATACTTTTGTTATATATTTTTAGAGACTTTCCACGCCTTACTTTAGTTAGTCTAAAATAAAATTTTATTTCATTCGAATCGAGAACTTATATTATAAGTTAATTTTTAATCTTTAACAATTTTTATTTTATATTTGTAAAATATCTGAAGTGTTTCGACAATTACCATAAAATTTAAGTATTAATATAACAAATTAACAAATAATATTAATAAATTATTTTATATAAATTAATTTTTAGTAATAAGAAAATAAAAATCATATTATAAAGTTAAAATAATAGTTGTAATATTTCTTTTAATAAGTATATTTGTTTCTGTAATTGCTATATAAATGATTTCGTGAAAAGCGCAGCAGCAGGCACAAATATTGTACATCGACCGATGTAGACATATCAGTTGCAACACTTTTTTTAAATAAGTTTCGAAACGGATTAATATTTTGCAAATACGAACAACGATTGGTGTACATATTATACTGTCTCTAGACTAAAGATAGTACGTCATCGCATTTACAAAATATTAGTTACCTATAAAATATGTATTATATATATTAAATATATTCTTAAAACTTATGAAAAAAATGTCGCAATCGATATGTGTGTCCACGATTGTACGCGTGAAGTATGCAGCCGTGTTTCAAATATCTTTAAATAAGACTTTTGTATACAATTAATTCTAAAAATATACATTACGCTTTACAGTTTGCAAATAATTTGAAAAAATATATGGAATAAAAACGCGGATCCCACTAAATAGGAATCGATTCATGCTTTTACACATTTTTATTTACACATATTTATTTAGGGAACACATCTCGTCCTAAATATAATTTAATGTACCTCAATATATATTTATATATTACAACTAATTTAAATTATATTATATTATTAACTTGTATTGTAATTGTTAAAAGCACACATTTAATTAACAAAATTTATTACAATAACTTCATTATAAAATTCGTGCATTTGTCACATAAAAATTATTCCTGTTTTGTTTCTTTTTTATTACTTTTAAAAATTGTGGAAAAATAAACAAGCAGCATGTACGAATGACCATTAAAGAGATTTAAAAAGGCATGTGTCATATATTCAAGCTATGTAATAGTAAGTTTTGCTTTGTACTTATTGACAATTTGCCGTGCAGATTCTTGCTCGGTTTTTGACGTCTGTTTGCTATTAGATTATGCCGGCAAATCTTGCGTGATTTTTTACACCAATTGGCTCTCATTTTATGAGCAATAAATTTTGCAAACAAAACATCAATCTAGCGAGGAGATAGATGCTTTTAATACAAAATTCTGATTAAATTCTCTGTCACTTTGCAAGCTATCATTTTACTTAGGGGGCATAGATTTAGATAATTGACAGATTATTTATTAATATATTTATATTCTGAAAAAAGGATATTTTTAAAAATCTGCATTAAAACTGACCATTAATACTGACCAAATCAGCAATTCTAATTCTTCTCAGCATTTTAAATTGTATTCATCAAATAATTTTTATTCAATAATATATTAGTCTTTAATAATGTGACATTTCTTTTGATGATCTATAATTCGTAGGTAACTTTATAATTTTATTTTTTTATCATCATCAACATTTAAAAGTCATCTTGAGTGATTTCGGTCTTTAACATTAAAATCTCCACGCTTAAGTCGAGCAAATCACTTTTGTACGGTATATTTACACTTTCTTCAAATTTTGTTTCTTCAAAATTGCATAGATTAAGTAATACTTAACAAATTCGCGCAAACGTTGTTATAATAATGTTATCTAATGTACGTATTGTTATATAATGTACGTTGAAGTATGCACCTTTCAGAATATGCAAGATCTTATAACTTGATCCTATAGTAGGACACGACATATTTGCACGAACTGCAACATCATCTTTTAAAAATCCTCACAAACTTTTGAAACAACCTAATAAATTAATAATTAGTAGATACTAAATAAATTTTTGAATTTTTTCTATTCTGAAAATGTTTTCTATTATATTTACATCTAAACTAATATTATTAAATTTAAAAATATTGTTAACATTGAATACACAATGTTTATTACACAATAATTATTACTTATTTGTTTAAAATAATTTTCAGTTTGATTGACCGCAGTATTAATTTAAATTTCTGTAAAGATAGGTCTGCATAATCCAGTGATTCGTAACTTTTATTTTGCATTCCGGAATTCATCGAAAACAAAGAATGCATCAACAACACTTACAATTAATCTCTTTGTGTGCAACATACGTGGCATTAGACGCACCTTAAAAAATGGCACTCCTGTTTTTTAATTCGCTTATTGTTCATTTATGCTGCATTCCTGAATACATGCTTAAAAACATAATTATAAATGCAGAAGGGAAACGTTAGTAAGAAAAACTCGCTGTCACACAACATTTATATTGCATCATTATACAAAATAGTCTACATTCGTATACGTAACTTAACGAGATTTATCTTTGCGTAGCATCTCACGAATAGGAAACTTCCGAGTTATATATAAAAGTCGTAACATTCATCATTATTATCTTCCTCCTCATTTGAATGTCATAAAATACGCATGACTTAAGAAGTATCCTTGTGCACCTACATCGAAAACATGATGACCTCGGAACTTGATATTTCAACGCATTATTTAAAAATATTATCTTTTTAATTAACAAAATGTTACGATTTTGAAAAACATAACAGATATTAAAATGGCCATGCAAGTACTGACAGTTTAAATATTGTTACAAAATGATAAATGACCGTTATTTAGAAAAGAAAAAAATTGATTCAATTATCTTCATTAATTACATATAATAATTAATAAAAATAATTAATATATATGTATATGAATATATATAATTACTTAATATTAATCAATTTTCGCGATTACGTCAGCCTTTTTGTCGAAATTAAAATCAAAACGTTCATTTATTTAAAGGCATTTTCTCTCATAAATATTTTTTACTTACATAAATATTTAATGTTGTTTTTTTCATCTTTTTATCTTACGCATTAAAAATTTTCGATAAAAGAAGATATGGCACTCTGTGGCATTCGATTTAATGCCTGCAATGCGTGCATCGCGTTGATTACGGTATTTGGTAAGAATCGCATGTGATCGCATACACGATAACTGATATTAAATAGTAACGAGATAACAAATTTCTTCTTTTGCAAGTCAATAAAAACATTCCATGCGCGCTTCAAAGTTTTATGGCAAATAGACCTTTTCTTTATTTGTTATTTCCAAGGTTTTGTATACAAATATATGTATATGTAAGATAAAATCTCACATATAGCCACATGTAATTGCAACTAGGATATGCATTCTGTCATATAAAATTGTCGTCACTGAATAATACGTCAATTAGAAAAATGCACATGTTCGTCATTCGCTCTCAATGCAATTCGTATTAAAACATAGAGAGGAATTGATCGAAGTCGAGGAATCGTTTAGCTTCGTAATGCGGATTAATGTAATTACCTTAAATTATATTTATCAGTCCATCTGATTGAAGATATAACGATAAAATTATGTCGTTGTTGCTTTTGATTTAGAACGACTCTTAATTCTGTATATATCAATTAGTGCAGACATTTTTATTTCTTCTCATCATGTAGAATTATTTTTCACGCTGCTAAAGAAATGATTGAAATTTGCATTTTTATTTTTCTGGACGTTCAAAATTATTCAACATATGTGTCGTAACATACGTGTCAACAACATACATCATGTATTCATAACACGCTATATTTGTAATGTTTAACAACGTATATCAAATTTCGCTGATTTTGCATCTTGAGTAATGAGTGATGTAATCAATATTTGTATATTTGTGTCAACATCGATTTAGTATAAATGCAGTGAAAAATGATCCTAAAGAGAAAAGCATGCGTGATTAAATTAAAAAAGCTCTACGTTTATAACAATAAGAAATAAAATATACATATATATATATGTAAGAAATATATATATATATATATATATATATATATATATGTATGTATGTATATTATGTATCCAAAGATAAAGAGTGCATTGTAAAATGAATAAAAATGTTATTCAATTTTATTCATGTATATTTTAAGTCTTATTGTCTTTCGTTATTTTTCAAAAAATTGTACAAATAAGATTTATAAGAGTGTGATATTCATTGACATTTTATAGCTTGACATATAAACGCTTGATTTATGAAGATTGCTTTCAACTGATTAGAAAGCGTTCGAATATTTGATTGGCCAAATGCTGGATATAAATGCTTGCATTACCTCGATATTACGGATCGGAATTTTTCGGCTTAAATCACCACAATAAAAAAATAAATTCTTATCTACGAAATGACTCGACACTCGATCACATACACAAATCGTTTTGTGTGTTGTATAAAGAGTTTAAGTAAAAATGTTATCAACTTATTCCGTTGAGAAATTATACGTGATCAAATCAAACAACAAGTGAATAAACATTTTTTCTTTTTCAAAAATTTTATATTTGCATATAATATTGATATATGTATATATTATATATTATAGTAAAGTTTCAACACCGTAATTATGATGTTTTTCAAGAATTAAATTTAGATAGCAAGTTTTTCAAAAATATAGCTTTTATATTTTTTAACTTCTAAAAACGGTTCGAAATAACAAATTATAAAGTATGTCTTTGGAAATGTTTCGAGAGTAAATAAAATTCAATATTGTATGCAACAATATTTATATGCTAACATTATTGTCTTATTATATAAAAAGCAATTAGTGCGGTTTTGTAGATGTTCAGATAAAAAAAAAAATATTCCGACTGTTTAACAAATTTTCTCTGAGTTTTGTAATTCCATCCATATCTCATATGTTGTATTTTAAATATACAAGACTGTTGCGTGCTCTTGCGTCTGTTTGTTTTTCATGTATATGTATAAGCCTTCATTAAGATAACGTTAACATTAAGATAACATTTGATTAGAATAAAATTTTGTTGTAATTGTTTGTAGTTGATAGTGAAATTCTTTTTTAAATAGATTTTTGTAAAAAAATTTATTTTAATATATACAATATTAATTTGAATTAAACCGCGTACGTGAATATGATCACAAATAAATTTGAAAGCGTCTTCTATCCATTATTCAACCATTTAAACTGCGCGCCGAATTAATATCGGACTTGCAATCATTAGCTAAAGTTGGAATAGTGAGATCACAATTGATCTTCAATTCTCAATAATTCAATGCGACTAGGCATCTTAAACTACTGCGAAGAACTCTGGCCGAGATAATATTTTTCGCAATAAATTTATTGTAATATTTTAAAATGCTTAGTCAAATTATTAAGAATTAAAGATCAATTGTGATCTCACTATTCCAACTTCAGTTAATGATTGCGTTGCAAGTCCGACATTGAATCGGCGTGCAGTTTAAATGGCTGAATAATGAATTTAAAAATTCATACAAAATTTATTAGGCACCAAGATCCAGCCGTAAAAGTCACTCTCAAATTTATTTGTGAAATTTATTTAAAATATTTAGAATTATCTAATAAATGTTACATTTTCTTCATAAAATTTCAGCATTTTTCAGTCTCTATCAGTAAAAAAGGAAAGAAGAAAAATACGCAACAGATAAAAAAATTTTTTTTTAAATAAAAAAACCAACGCATTCTTTTGTATATGCATGTATATTTCATCAAAAAAATATTTGCAGAAGTATTACTTTTAGTTTTGATTTATAGCATAAAATAATTCTATTAATAATAGAATAACTTGGATTTTAACACGTTCAATTTAAACTGAATCAATAAACTTGTATTTTCACATACCAAAATTTATTTAATCTGTAATAAAAAGAGTGCGAGAAGAAAAGAAATGCCATAATGAAAATCAAAATGTGAAAAGCAGAAAACTTAAAAAGATTTTCAGAAACAAAGGCGAAATACATAATAATTTGTTTAAATCATTTATATTATTTTAATCTCGCTAAGAAGTAAAAAAAATCACGCAGTTTATATATATATTACTGTACTGTTTCTTAAGCAAAGCTTATACGATGCTTTTTACTAGTAACTCACGTGCTAACCTCTTGGCGAACTAGAAAATTAGCAGCTAAAAAGAATTTAATTCTATAAATTAAAAAAACTAACACATACAGAGTTACAGACAAATAATTATATTTTTTTAATTGCTAATTTTCTAGATTGCCAAAAGACGCTAATTGCTAATAAAAAGCATCGTGTAAATCTTGCTTTAACGCGAGATGTACGATGTCAAACATTTTTTTTCAAAAGAAATTTTTGAAGAAGTCACAATTTATTCAATTTAATTTTATTAAATTAAGAAATATTATTGTACTCTTTTAATTTTACAAATTAAAAAAAGGAACATAATCTTTTAAAGAAAGGGTTATTATCTGAATAAAATGTACATATATTTAAATAGAAATGTTATTTATAAAAATCTATTCACATACAACTGCATGTAATAATAAATGCATTTTAAATTGGTGGATTGGTCATTGAATCTTTCAACTTAAGTTTAATTTTTTAAATCTGTTTTATCTTTAATAATTGAAACGTTTTAAAGACATCATAATATCAAAATTCATATACGTGAAAAATTCGATGTCTCATCATTATGGCATTGAAGTTTTACATAAATATATTATATACAAGTGCAAAAAGATTCAAAAAGAATTCTTTGCTTCTTTGCTACTTAATTTAACGTGGAATTGCCCACAATCATTATTAGTACCGTTTATGAGAATATTCTCATTAAATTGTTACAATAGGAAATAAATACCATAGTTAAACCATACTATCGATACAGATGCATGGTAATTAATAAACCTATCTCCATCAAAATATATTATGTGAAATTATTGCATATTGCAATCAACTTTATCAATATGGATGCATTGAGATAAATCAAAAAAATATTTGGTATTTTTTATCACGACGATAAATGTACGATATACAATATCATTTAATGTAGCATTAATTTGTCATATTCCATATTTTCGACTAAAATTTGATAAACTTCGTGGACAAACAAGATATTTCGAACGCAACGTATGAGATATAATAAGTTAAACATCGTACATTTATCATTGCATCATAGTAATAAGAGTACATTTAAATCGGATAATAAAAAGAATACTCTGGTACCGCAAATAATTCAACGTGCGACATAATATCCCACAGTGCTTAATGTCTTTGCATCAAGTAATATATATCGCTTATAATATTGAATGCGGATACAATTTTGATTACGTCGAAGGCTTTCCGATTCTACAAATAAACAAATTTGCATATTATACAATGCAAACTGATTATCTGTATTAATCCGGTGGTAATAATGTTGAATTTGTTGAACTCATATTTTTTGTAGTAATTTGTCATACAATTCTAGCTAAAAAATGTATTATTTACAAAATTTCGTGTATACGTTTTTAGGTATACTCTGAGGTATACTTATGATTTCAGACTTTCCCATTTTAGATTTGAACACTAAATTTAATAGTAATTTCCTTGCAAATCTAACGTTATCACCAATTCCGGAACAATGAATAATGCACATCGTTTATTGCGTATATACAACGAGTGAACCTTCCATATCGATAAAGCTAATAATCTTAGAAATGGACACATTTCAGACGCGCTTATAAATATGTTTTAAGTTAATATACATCTTATATTAATACACGTATTGTACATAAATACAAGTTTTTTTTCTTGGTGAAAAGTACACAAGATACTCTGTATTGAATTCACATCCAATGTGTATTATGATTAAACGCTTATATAGTGAGCTGTTCTAGTAACCTGTTAAGGACCACAGAAAGTCCTATCATCAAATCGTCGCTCTATAGAAGATCCCTGAGAAAGAAGCGTTAGTATTTAGTAAAATATTGAAAATTCATTTCACATTTCTATTTCTTTTTTTTTTTTTAATAAATAAATGTCTAATTTTGATTGTGCCCCATTGCAAAATAAGAAAATTCTACTAATTATAACTACATATAAATAGTCGCGCAATTTGGCTAGCGTTTCAGAACTATACTCAATTTCAAAAATGTCAGTGAGCAAACGTTTGTTATTTTACAGTCGCGCTTATCATTTATATTTTCGCCGTATCGTTTATAAAAGATCCTGTTTACTTCACTTCGTGAAATGGCCAAAGCGTATACCGCATACTTTTTAATTTACAATTTGCCGTTTCTTCCATTTTCATTGCAGTCTTATTGCAGCTTCGTTATAGATCGTCGCGATTATCTATAAACGTGGAACATGTGCACAGTACTTGATTTCACACTTGATAATCACAATGTGTGACACATTGTCGATTAACATCCGATAATACAAGTATATTGACGGAACTAAATTGGGTTAAGAGGCCTTGAGAGCCTTGTCCGCGTGCGCTAGAGTCAGAGAGCCCACGAGGGACACTAGGGTTCGATCCAGCCATGTTATAGGATTTGGATACAGAAGGCCTCCTTCGTAAAAACCTAGGTGGCCTCCGTGGGCTAGTTCCACGTATAATATATTTAAGTGATTTGCTGAAATTAAAAAATACAGAGAGAGACATTAGTACATTCTTACTTATTATTTATTTTCGTACATACGCAAACTGCGCGTTTTACAGATGCTCACCCGCGTGCTTTTTGATTGGATTTAACAACACCTCCGGTACGAGGGGATCGTCTAACGCGTTGATGAATACCATCGGCGTTGTGATATTGTCTAGATAAAAAACGCAACTACTCCATTTGTACAATTCCTGCACAGACCTGAAGTTGTGTACCTAAACGCAATAAAACACCTCATGAAAATCGAATCATTATTTAAACTACATAATCGCGTGTCTGAAAGAATGATAAACTTACCCTCCTCGTGTAAGCTTCGTCCAGCTCGGGTAACGTTGCAGCGGAAATTATGTCTCGCTCGTTCAAGTTACACCTCTGTTTTACATCCTCGCACAAAAGCATGTTTTTATGTTTGAGAATAAGATTCTTCATCGATTCTGTCATTACGTAGAGGTAAAAGCGTCTAAAATTCTGCCAGTTTAATAGCATTTTCGTTCCCCTGAAAAAAATGTACGGCAAACAATATTTCTCCTTATCGATCCGTTTTAATCAAAGAAACCCATAAAAAATCCATTAGACTTACTTGAGAGCATTGTAACCTTGGCAAATCGATATCCCTCCTATAATATTAGGCAATTTGTTGGAACCATGTTCTCCTAAATATTTCGTTACTAAATTACCACCCAGACTATATCCGACACAAACTATTTTGGTGTTAGGGTGCTGTTCTATTAGATGTTGTAGCATCGCGCTATAATCTTCCGTGTGACCTGTTCATAAAATGCACATTGTAAATTTTATTTCATTTGATAGAAGCAAGTTTTGTTAAACATATGTATAAAAAATTATATTCAAGGAATATTTATTCAATTAAAAAAAAACAGACAGTGTAAAATGTAAATGTATAATTTTGATTACAATTTCTTTGTCACTATTGCCAAGAAATCTCCTTATCGATTATATCGATCAAATTAATGTTTTATTAATACGATCGCAAAACGTAGGACGGTATAGCTCAGAAAGTTTTACAAAGTTACTCGACATCGGAATGGTTTCTTTCCCACAGTTATAAAGTTTGCTTAACATCCTTGCAGTGTGTACATACTCATGCGATAGAAACTTAGTTGTTATTCGTTAATTTTCCTCGATCGACCGCCTCGCCCTAGCAGGATAAGTTTTATTGATTGCCATACTGTACGTACCGTAAGAAAATATTCTTGGTGCCGTGATCTTGACACTGGAAAGGGCCCCGACGTGATTAAGTACTGCGCATCGATATCCGTGACATTGCACAAAATGCACGAACGTCCTGATGTACACGCTCTCCGAGGTGTTGCCAATACCAGGACAGATGGCTATCGTTATGTCATCTGAAGTAAAAGTTATTTATCAAGCATATCAAATTAAAAAAAGAAACTTTCTCTAATTTTATTCCAATGCATGAATTTAAAATAAAAATATTAAAATATTTGCCTATTTAAGTAATTAATAATACGAAATTTTTTTCTCATTATTAAAGACGTTGAGAGCGTTTCTTAAGAAAAATTAATATAAATAAAAAATTATTAATCGCAAAAAATTATTTATCTTCATGATTAATCTATACAAACAATACCTTCGTGTCCATTAGTCAGCGGTTGATAAAGATCGTACGTAAGGGTGGTCCCATCCGGAAGGCCGATGTAGACGCGTTCTCCAATGGGCCAAGGACACCGAACACGTCCTATAATGCTGTGGACGATAGTTTGTACGTGGCCGCTGAAACCCCACAACCTCGTTGGCTTGTACCTAAAACAGATGATATGACCAGATTTGCGGTTATCCGAGCACGAAAAATTACTCGTAATTTTCAAAATGGCATGGGTTAATGTTTAGTTTTATCGTGCTATTACTTTAGTTGAATCATACTCTTGCTCCAGTCGATACCGAAAGTTCTTGACCTTCGAGAAAATACTGCAGTGAAAGAATTCACAAAAAATTCATCAAATAGAATAGAATAAAACAAATTGAAGTGTTTAAGAACGATAATATCCAAGTAGCCAGTAAATTACATTTTAAAAATATCGTGTCCAATATGCGTCCTACTTAACATAACGATGATCGATGAGAGAAGCTAAAATTCTGTCCTTATTTGTGCACTTTCTTTATTAACTCTGAATATAGCTAAGATATAAATTTCACTCGAGTCGACTTTTTATTGCTTTGTAATTACGACGTATAACGATATTTAAATATGCCAATAAAGATTGTCAAATAGGAACGACATAACGAAATCTGCCCTCATTAATTACCGTAGAAACAAGATGCAAATTATGACACTTAAATACGCAAATATTTAAATATCTTCATTTTAAAATTCATGCGTTGGAATAAAATTAGAGAAAGAGAAAAATCGGTAGTCTCTATATTGATTAAATCGATTTTCTATCAATAAAGAATTTTTGATGTTTGATCGTAAAGAATTTATTATTATCAATGGATGGCACTTTTATTTATTTTCATTTATTTGCAGATAAAAATGCATTTTATTTAATAAATAATTTAAAAAAAAATCAATTTTATAATACAAAAATTATATAAATAAGAGCTCAAGATAATACTTTTAAAAATTGCAATTGTTTTGAGACACGTTTTATTTTATAAATTATTATGATTTTCTTAAACAGAAAACAAGAACTGGAAATAAAATTCTACGCATATCTACTACGATATTACGCACTTCACTCGGCGCTCAGGCAAGACAAATTGGTGAAAATGTACCGCATCGTTAAATTGTTTATAGAGAATAGTAAGAAGTCGCAGCGTGGATTAGTGGAGCACGGGATGGAATGCTGGACGAAATAAATTTACGAAAAAACCGTTTATTGCCACAATGTACGAAGAAACATATATGTCAGTATTCTCGATTTTCCGTTGTTTTTTGTACGGAAACATGAATCAGCGGCTGAGGCACGCAGTCATCGGTAAGAAAAGACATTCTGTTGAAGAAAACGAAACTGCTGGATGAAGTAATAATAATTTTTGTTTGAAGTAAATACCAATAATATCAAATTTACGATGAAATGTCTCGGCGAAGGAGATCATGTAACTTTTCAAAGCCTTTCAAATCTTTCTCCTTTGCACCTTTCACCGCTGTACATAAACTGCAGTAGCATCTAATTATTGTCGTAATCGCGTATGCAATTATGTAGCTGCATGCCGAAGAGCGAAACGGTAGTCCGTAGTTGCGGCAGTTCGCTGACTATTAATTCAACAGCCATGAACCTGCATCGACTGTATACGACTATTGCATTTTAATAACAGAAATGCATAAAGTTGCGCCCAACAATGGATCGATAGAACGCTGGTAACGCAATATCGATTCTCCCGAGTACAATCGACACGGTAAAAAAAAACTCGCTTCTTATACTCGCAGAGAAGATATTCACTGTCTTCTTATCTAAAAAAAATAAAAAATAAAAAAAAGAATTCTTTTTCAACGAGAAAAAAATGCGATTTTAAGTCCGTTGAAAGATTAATTAAAAAGAAACGAGAAAGCCCGTCACGTGAATGAAAGTGAAAGACATTCTTATACACTTGAAATTTGTTCGTGATTAATGCACTTGGACTTCTGGACTCCTGACGCTATTCTCCAAGCTTCTCGGCAACTTACCGAACTACCTGAGGTAATTTTCCAGTTGCCAGCTACCGGCTTTAGGATACTTAACAAACTATTACGTTTCTTAATACTACAATTTTACTGCCGCCACCTAAACTTTATTCTCGCACACCGGATACTCCTGCGGTTGTTGTTTTTCTTTTACCTTGCTTTCTATTCAACCGACCTTTCTTCGTGGACTGTAAATTGCAGAATAAGAAGAGACACCTATTCTAAACTCTCTCGAATCTCTTGCTAGAGTCAAAACAAAATTCTTTTCTCCCGCAATGAGTTGGCGCAAAGTCCTACGTGTAGTCGCAATCAATATACATTATACGTGACAATTCGTCATTGTAAACGCAAAGAGAAACGTGTTAATATCGTGTTCGCATCGCGGCCGCGAAGTCATCGCGCGAATTAGGCGCGATAGGGAAAAGTAGGGTAAACTGTGTACCGGGCCTTCGAGTGCCAAAGAGAAGTCTACTCTTTCTACAAACTGATTTCCCGTTATAGCGATTATCCCGATTTTTGGTACGCGCGACGATAAAGCGCGTAAAAATTCTGTTCCGTTTTATTTTTATATCTATTTCGCAATAATATGATTTTTGTATATGTAAATAAAAGATAAAAACTGTACAACAACTGTACTGTGTTTTTATCTTATATAGAATTCTTTAGAAATTTGTATGTGTATTAATATTTATCTTACTGATATGTATTACATCTTTGATAAAATATTACACATAAATATTACATCGAGTATAAAAAGAAAAAAAAGTATGTAAAATTAACCTTTTCGAATTTTTTGTCTGACCGAGCGTGACATTCGAAAGATTGCACCGTGCAGCATTACATAAGAGCTGTAAGTCACTTACACTTCGAGTAGCGCAAGTATGCAGTAATAAAAAAAAATTATAATCAGGCTTTTTTTAAATTAGACGTAAGTCAATATTTAATATAAATATTACATTTTAACAAAGCTTGAATTTTGTTGTTAAAATAAATAGTATCCAATTATAGCAAAACTGATTTAGCCTTTATAAAAAAAAAAAAAAAAAAATATTTATGTACTTTTTTGTGTCGTTCCACCTATGACGTGCTAAAAAATTGAACACGCACGTTCCACAGGCCGCAAATCGATTTGCACGGATAAAATTCATGGTCACGTCTGATACAATCGACTAGAATGCTCGGAGCTATTTATATTTATTAGACATTTATTATTTTAAGTACTTGTCATCCGTTCAAATGTTCTCAGATTGTCAAAAAATGTCGCTATCAAATTTTGACAATTCAGCTAAATTACTTGTAGCATTATCGAGTTTTATCTTTTTACACACTTTTATCTTTTCGTCAGTATTGTTATATTGATGCGTTAGATAATAGAATATTTAAATTATTTCTTGGTAGTAGAAGTGTGTAAATAAAAGATTATCTTATCATCTTCTCTTAGTATGCAAATTCCATTCATTCATTATATCGAACAAGTTCAGTGAGACATTATGTATGAGGTGACTATCAATTTGCTAATTTCACAGTTTCAAAAATATTACTTGTCATCTCTTATATTAATACGAAAATTACAGAGTCGTTCGTTATAGCAAACGGACAGAACCACGCAATGATGAATAACTATCAATTTGATTTCGCACTTTCAAGAGTATTGCGCTAGCAATGTCAATCTATTATTCAAACGAAATGACAAACGTCCATATTTCATGAATAACTCCAGGCCTGTTCTTTTTAGCTAAACTTCTTGCACCGTTCATCTTTTGTTTTCTTCAATATGAAGAGAAAAAGAGGGAAGATGTACCGTATGCAAGAAGATTAGCTGAAAAGAATAGCAAAAAAATTAATTTTTTTTTACACGCTGCATGCGATAGGCGGAAGTAATACATCTGTGTTGCCAAGAGGCTTTTATCGTTAAACGAAAAAATAGGATAAATTATTCGGCATTCTCATGTAATTTGCATCGTTCATCTTTTGTTTACTTTATAATTATCCATAATTGTCTCGTTCTTCCATTACTATCTTTAGTTTTTCGCGGAAAAACTGTAAATAAAATTACATTATTTCCAATTGTTTAACGCGTTCTGTGCCGTGCCATTTTTGCGCGACTCTCCATTCAGGCCATCGATAGTACACGATGTGATAACTTATATTTTATACATGTTAATCAATATATGTAATATATATATATATATATATGTATATTAATGATATTATGAAATATCTCGTGATAACGTATCTGTTTACACTCAAAACATTAAATGGCCTGGATTGGAAAGTTCAATGTAGACCACCGTGGTAGTACGCGGCACGAAACGTGCTTGCTGATAAATAATTTATTGAACTTGTCGCGCTCACGTGAGACTGCGAGTCTCGAGACTGGAAGCAGGTCATCGAGTGTGAAATAGGAAAATGAAAACACCGGAGAAAGGATTTTTTTTCTTCGTGCCGGAAATGCGGAAGTGCACGGGAACGGGCGGTCGTTTCGAAAGAAATCAAGCGTGTGATAATGAGCACGGGCGTTAGCGTGTCGTAATGATTGCGATATGTGGCCGTTTAGAAAGAGAAAATCGATGGAAAATGAGATGTGGAAAGAACCCGTGCTCGGTTCCCGTGCCGCTCGGTTCGCAAAACAGACACGACGATTCCAAACGAGCGCGTAATGCGTTGTATATGTGTGTGTGTGTAACATCGCGAACGGTATGATTTCCGTGGTGCAGAGTGGCGATCAAATACGAGGATAGCACGACGTTCGCATGCGTCGTGAGTGTCGTGATCTATAATTTTTTATAGATTTCCAAGTTGCCGCTTCCTCCCCGACTGCACGAGGGGAGCTCGAAGAGAAGTAAAAGCGGGATGTATACAGGTGATTGTTGGGAAACTTGGCGATTTCTCAATGAAATGCTTCGCCAGAGGATCTCTTCAGATTCGCGAGTGCGAATAGTAATCACTCGTCGCGTTCGCGAGCCGAGATCGGTTTTCAGCGTTTACGGGCAGGTGCGCTTAGACACGCGAAGATAAATTTCGTTCGATGGTAATTGAAATGTAACGATCGACGTCTCTTGGTGCACGATGAAACTATAGATTTCGGTCGATACGCAAGTCACGCGTCTGTGTCTATCGTCGAATTTCCGTTTTCTGCAGCACGAGACAAAGCTCGAAATCGTTTCCGCTTTCTTAAGCGCTTTCACACGACGCGATCGGAAAGAGGAAAGAAATCGTAATTAGAAAATGAGTTTGTCCGACGGTGGGATAATTTTTTTTCCTCCTTCCTCATCATTCCGACCGAGATTCTTCCGTGACATCTCATGGCGTCACGGCAGCAAATTACTAAACCGATCACTTCGCTTTCACGTGGCTGTTGATTTTCATAAGTGCCTTAATGATGAGATAAAGACAAACAGCGAACGAATGTAAACCGCGCATAAAAGAAAATCATTACGATATACGCTTCGGCGATGGGATATTCGACGGTGTCTTAAAATCGCGCTTCGCATTAATTTGCATCGCATTAATAAGATTACAGGTTTGCAATGAGATACTGCGTTCCTGTATCCTCGTGTCGCTTGCACGGAGGTGAAATTCCGTATACGAGTGCCTCGAAATGTCCCGGAAACTTTACCGGCGCACGACACAGATTCACGCGCGCTGAAACTCAAATCTTTTCCGCACGATTCCTGCCGACAACGTGGCACGTTGTGCTTCGAGATAAGCGAAACGGCGAGACCGATCTGAGCGCGACGGTGTTACGTAAGGCCTAAAATAGGATGTGATCCTATTAGGCTTGCATCATCCGATCGGAGCATGACCTGTCTGTCTCTAACGGGGAAAAAATTGGCGACACTCGTACATGTGTGTATAATACGGTCGTTATCGCGAGTGATACGGTTCGCGTTGTAGTACATTCATTTTTATGTATGCCACATATAGACGTACACGCGTGCAACCGTGATAAAAAAAAGTATTAGCCGACGTGCGCTATTCTTTTCGCGGAAGCATCGATTGCGAAAGCAATCCATTATCAATAATGAGTAAATGAAACGAGCGCAGCGAGCGTAGAATTCCGCTGAACGAGTATCGAGTGTATATATAATTTTTCGCGGTAAGCAAAATTCGTACCTCCGTTAAAAAGCCGCAGCAATTGATTCGCATTAAATGGATTTAAATGGCATTCAATATTAAATGGACATAATTCTACAAGAATGTATCATTTTTTTCTTAAAATAAAAGTAAATAGGACCCACGAAAATGTAATAACTTAAGAAGTAAGAGTCCCTCATTAGCCCTTTCCAGATTTCCTTTCCAGTTCTTCCTTGTTTCTTTTTAAAAATGTCCTTCATTTTCAAGCGGTATCTTTTTGCAAAATTTAAATGAACAGCTGTTGTAAAAACAGGCGCAAAATATAATTGCATTGTGGTTTGGCTATCTATAATTGGCTGCAGTGACAAATGTTTTTTGAACAATATACCTATTGCTTTGCACTGGTGTATCAAAATAGACATAAAGAAGAGTTATTTGACAAGCGTGACGCCAACTTCCTTCTCGTCATCTTCGTCAAAGGAAAGTTTCGGCATTGAACTGATTCGCAACTGCTTTTTCTTCGAATTAATCAGTGAACTTTACATGTTTGTTCTTCCTCCCTTCCCTCCCACGCATTATCTGCGCCCGCATTTTTGCCACGCGAATCAATATCAAGTAGACAAAACATTATCTCAACGTGGAACGCTCAGATAATGATTACTGAACTGTCTTGCACACGGATATGACTTCAGCGTTGTTACGAGGATTGCACACGAGATAAGAATTTTATTTCATTCTATCTAATTATATTTGATAAGTGTTATTATGTAGCCACTCAATAATGGATTTTATGTTTACTATCATTGTATGTAATATACTTACTTCGAAATACCGTATACTTTGACTGCTTATAACATCAGGATATCATTTCCTATATAACGATCACTTTAAACAATCGATTTGTAATCGCGTGCGAGTGTTCCTTAACGATCTCGAACAAAAGCCTACAACAATCCATTGCCCCAAACATTCCTCGCAGAGAACGGTAACTCGCAAGAAAACATGCATTATACTCGTACGAAAGCAATCACAATGCCGATATGGGAATATCGCATTTGCTGCGATATCACGTGTCATGCAAGCAGGCATGTAAATAAATAGCTTCAACTTTTGGAGTCTTGTTCATAGCATTATATTGTGAAAAAAAAAAAAACAACAGCTGCGTTCAGCAGAAAAAACTGCTTTACAACTGCTGTTGTAAGATTCTTTAATATGATCGGTTTATACATTTAGATCCAGTGAAAGAACTAAGGGCAAGGATATCAAAATCACATTAAAAGATCTTACAATAGTTGCAAAGCAATGCAATACAGTAATTACGTTTTTCTGTTAAATACAGCTATTCTTTTATAATTATCCCAAGTGAAATGTTAACAGTATACTAGTAGTTTGCAAGCAGATTCAAGCACTTTGTGGCAGATTGATGTCAACTGTGTCTACATTAAGTTTACCTTTTGCCAGAAGAGCTTATTGATATAATCTGACGTAATCTGACAGCAGCAGATTGCCCAGCAGAGTCTCTCATTTTAGAACTACTTAAATTATGTATTTCATTCAAACGGTTACGAAATATGATACAGAATCTACTTGATTTCTGCAGTCAATCTGCCATCGTACTCTATTACACGGATCCTGTTATATTTCTGGCACTGCCAGCATCTGCTGGCTTTTTGCCAACAAAATTTATAGTGGGCACTTTGCAAGGATCTATTTTCGATAGATATGACTGTCTAGGTGTAATGATATAATAAAAATAATCTTTCCTATAAATTACGACCAATATCAATCAAACAATCTTAACAAAACTATAAAATACATCTTATCCGCATATTAATAAAATCCCTCCTTTTGCATCATTATGATCCTTTCATTACATCAAATGGATAAATCAGTGGACCAAAAGTGCAACGCCAATATCAATCAAACAATCTCGACAAAACAAAATACAGCTTATTCACATATTAATAAAATCCCTCCTGTTGCATCATTATGATCCTTTCATTACATCAAATGGCTAAATTAGTGGGCCATAAGTGCAATATGCACATACATTTTTTTTATACCACACATAATTTCCTAACTTGACACACGATGTTCAAAAGACTACGGACTATCTCGTTTCCAATTTATTTACTCGCGTTACGACGTACAATACGAAATATTCGTCATTTAAAGGTAACGACAGCCGAGTCTCACGCCCACCCATGCTGGAGCATCCGGCGTCCAGTATCAACCTAACCTCACTTCCGCGGCTGTTCCGCGGGCTCGAAATCTGCGCCCGGAGGTTTTATCTCTCGTATGTACGTTCCGACAGCCGGCGCGTGTCGAAGCGACCGACTCGCCGCGCCGCCGGTCGCCCGAGTGGCGTGAAAAGAAAGAAAAACGAATTTTCAGACTTACGGCTCGGCGATGACCGGCGCGATCTTGAGCACCGTCGTCAGGAAGGACTGGTCCTTGCAGACGAGGAGGGGCCTCTGCGGCGCGCTGTTCACGTTCAGTATCCTGAACAGGATGCACAGGATCACGGCGAAGAGGGCCAGCAGCGCCGTGGACATCTTTCCTCAGGCCGTGTCGGCGCCTGAAAGAAGTGCATCTCTCTTCACCCGCTCCCCTCTTTCTGTTCCCTCCGCCGCGGACTTTTACTCGACTTCGCGCAAAAAACCACTCCTTAAAAACACGCTCGCCGTGCCTTAAAAGTTAAATTCTTTCGACGTTAAACATTTACGCCTTTTTATCTTTTTTTTTTTACACCGCTATCGCGCGTATATATTATCTTTGAAGCTCGCGAACGTGAGGCAATTAGTCATACCTCTTCCTGGAATGGAAAATCGGCTGTCTTCCTTCCTAGTCTCCGGAGGCCGATAAGACGGACGATCGAGCTGCGACGGCCGTGGATGGTGATTCATGCGATTGATGCTTCGTGACCTGCGGGCAGAAGTATAAACGTCGTGTCATATTAGAGAATGCCGGTCGCCGACCTCGGGGGTGTCGGGACGACGGATACATGACGGGCGAGCGCCGGGGAACGTTGCAGTTCGGCCGCACGCGGGAGTGCAGCACCACGACGACGACGACGACGACGATGCCTCGCGCGATCGTGGACGCATTCTGACCTCCACACGGAAGGGTATCGGCGATGGGCTTATCGGGCGCCGGCGATGAACGAGAACGTGGATTGATCGCGACGTTACATCTCGTTTTGCATGCACCGGGTCTCGCGCGGGTCTCGCTAGCCGGCGGCGGCAACCAACGGACAAGGGTTATATCGACGATACGTCGAAAGATCGATAGCGGTATATAGATAAACACGGCGATATCGCGCGTCTCTTCAATCAGTTCTCCCGCCGAACGCGGGAAGTTGTTTATAAGTGAATATCGAGCGAATGGTTAATGCGACGCACCTCATATAAATCGAATCCGTGCGCGTTTTTCTCTCGGCGAGCGACGTACGGTTTCAAACTCAGTCTCAACGGTCGTTGTGCTTAAAATTGTCTTCTTTTCAAGATTCGCCATTCGGATGTATCTTTCTCTCTTTTTATACAGCTTTCGCTCGCCCCATCGCGTAACGGTTGTTTCCCGCTTCTCGCGAAAGAACCTCCTTCATTATCCCGCGAGAACTCGTCTTGGAAACTTGAATTAAAGAGGCGTAGTGCCACACCGATTAACGCCTTAATGCCCGTTAATTAATCGCAAATCAACGCAACGCTGGCATTAATTGAGCCTAATAACGTTTTCCTTCTTCTGCTTGCTGCAGTCCGGCTTCAACAGGCGAGAGGACAAATCTGCGGATAATGATAATAGTAAAAAGAGGATAGATGCAATTCTCTATTCTCCCGATCGGCATCTAGAGAACCTAGACAAAAGACAGTACGCGAGCGCGAAATTGGTTCACGCTTTCCAAGTTTTTTTTTTCTTTCGACGATGCTAAGGAATGCGACCGCTAACGAAAGCGAAGCGAGTTATCGTCCCGTCGAGGAATAAAATCGCATTTCGTCTCGCTTTCGCGCATCCTGTACTCGAGGACGGGACGGGAGAGAGAGAACGTTCGACGGGGGCGAGAGAAACGGCGGAGCACTGGAAGTGTCGCTCGCTTTTCCGGATGGACTCCTGCTCACCAGAGATGACAATCCAATCGACGAATTTATCGGCGGTCGAGGGTGCGACGTGTCCGGGATACGCGTTCCCGTGTGGCCGGCACGCTCGGCCCGCCGGCGGCACTTCGCGGAGCGGAGCAGGTAGCTCGGACGCTCGGACACGTGTCACACATCCGTTCGCGTCGGGCTGCGCCGGGCGACTGACATTACTGACAAGACAACCGACATCTGTGCGCGCCCGTGACAACCACGCCGTCGGTCGGAGCCGGAGGGGCCCGGCGTTTCTCCTCGTGATATACATACGTCAGGCTTCTCTCTCTCTCTCTCTCTCAGACTCTCTCTTTACATACACATAAACATATATGCAATAATCCAACAGAATAATATATATAGATATGTACACATATAATATGTACTGTGCAATATTAAATTAATTAAAGTGACCTCGATTGACTCGAACTCCGATTTAATTAAACGGCAAATCATTTATCGAAGCAGTACATACATATATCATTTTGTCAGCACGAATAGAATCGTTAATTTCTTATTTATAATACGTGGAAAGAAAAATATAGAGATAGAGATTAGGAATGATGAATTTATATAATTAGAAATTCTGCTGTAAGCAATTCCGGTTGAATTAGTCACTGATAAAGTTAATCGGAATTCCATCGAAATTGCTCTTATTCACACGCTTATCTGATTCTCTTTTCCATTTCCTACATGTATGTACATATATTTATTGTGTTACATATTTATATACCTTCAATATTTTTAGCCACGAGAATTATCGATCTGATCTTATCCGGAGCATTTTTCGTCGTACTCGTGGTTCTTCAACTTTTTTTTTATAAAGCTATTAATAAATATTTACTATATTTAGATTTCATTTGTCGAAGTAGATTTAATGAGAGACGCATTCAATTCTATAAACTTTAATTGAATTTAAAGGGATTTAAATGAGTCAAGATATTCAATCTTGAAAATTTATTGACGCGAGACAGATTTCTATACGCGTTCACGAACCGTGTCTCGAGGTTTGAGATAACTTGTCGAAAAAAATCACGTAGCAGCACGTGCATAGATTAATCTCGCAAATTTTATCTCGAGGTCTACGACAAATACGCGTTTAAGGTCAAGAACACATCCGTCAAGGCTTCCCACGTGCGGCGGAAATGTAATATAAAAATCGCTGACCGAAACTCTCCTCGCATGACCCCCGCTCAATGAATTCAATGATCAAAATGAATACAAATCTGCTATTAACATCCTGTTGTCGCAAAGATTTTTAGCAAAATATCTCTTTTTCAGCTATTTTTAACTGCTATTAATTAAGAATAACGTTCCGATTGTGTAATCTTGTTTACAAGATGCTTTTCTGTTTTATATCTTATGAAATTGCCTATTTTTTCCCGGAATCTCGGTGAAATAATGCGGAATAACATCTGGCTACGCAAAATTTAAAGATAAATTACATAAGAATTAAGTTGCCGCAATTGAATATCCTGTTTACACTAAAAAAAGCTGACATTCGAGTTTCTTATAGTTTAGCTAGTCCAGCGATCGATGAACTTATTGATATAATTGTTACACATGTTGATATGGCAACGCGAGATACAGTTATTCCGGTTCGAGTATCCTGGCTTTTTTTACCATGAGAATACGACGAAAATGCAGGGAAAGGAGAATTAGTTAAACGAATTTGAACATCGGTAATTTCAATAATAATAGTTTGGCAGTGAACAATGTATACTTAATTTATAGTGTATACTTAAAAAATATAATGAACTTGTGTTATCAATAAATTATCGCAATATCTATATATTTTTTTACCAAGGTATTAATCGAATAACAATGGCGACGGGTGGTAAAGGTAAGAAGAAGGCTGGTGCGAAGACAAACGGAAAAAATAACGGAAAAGGCGCTAAAGGTGGCAATGGCGGTAAAAGTAAAGGATCGAAGAAATCGAAAAGAAGCGGCGGAAAGGCACGATTCGCCATGGACATCTTTAACGAGGAGGTGATGGAAAACGCTTATTACACATGCCATAACATTATGGATGTGATGAAGTGCCGAGGTTTCCCGTGGCCAGACGCTCAGAAGAAAAAGGGAAAGAGGAAGAAATAAATAGTCACGCGAACGTCTGGAAACGTACTTTTAACATATTAGAAGTAGTTCAATAGGATACAAATATCCAATTATGTAAGGCGCATATGAAATAAACTCATCGTATACATTTTGTTTTAATTTTAGTCATGGGCGTATCCAAGGGGGGGTTTGAGTGGTTCAACTCCCCTCCTCGAAATTTACCTTTCATTTTTAATTATACAACTTTTGATTCTAAATAAATTTTTTATTATCGCAAAATATTTTCTCTCCGTTACGATTATCCAATTCATTAATGCAAACAATTGCTATTTATGCATTAAATTAACAGGATTGAAAAACCTCCCTCCGAAAAAATTCCTGGATACGCCCTGCTGATACACAAATACTTGACATTATATATTATTAATTAGCATTAATTTAATGTAAAATGCTGCAAAAGTATGTTAAAGCTTATTAAAGCTCTAGTTTTCACGTTTCTCTATTTTACAAAAATATAAAATACTTTTGAACTCTCTCTTAAGCACGCTCCATATGCTATGTATACAAAACTAAAAATAAATTTTTAATACATATAATAATCAGATTTCTATAGAATACCTTAGATCGCTATACCTTAGTTCCGAGAAATGAAGTGAAGCCAAGTAATTCAGGAGGGAGAGTAGCGATTATCTTTACCTTTAGTGATGGATTACATTCAAAAACATCAAAAGTTTAATCTATATTATTAAATGCTAACACTACTTCATGGAGCACTGTATGTGATTACCGGGTAAATATATGATGTCTCGACTTCAATTCAATTGGTAACAAACTATAACATGTTAGCAATCTAGGTATTCTATAGAAATCTGTAGTAATAACTCGTAAAACTTTAATATATACATAGGAACAAAATATCTTTACATGTTTTTGTTTGCATTTAAACTGACGATGTGAGATAATTGCAGTAATCCTGCATATCAAAATTAAACTCTACATCGTCAGCTTTGAATCCGTTGAAAACGCAGTGCACCGTCACTGTTTCGGCGTATGTCAGGTCAGGCAGCAGCTGTTAGAATGACAAGATTAATGAAAAAGTCATCGTATAATAGTGAATTATAATTTCCGTTACTCTTACCTTTGGTGTGAGCAAAAAATATTGCGAGCTGCCCGGCCTTCCTGTCATCTTGACGAGTAAATCGAAGACTCGTCTCTCATTTACTGCGTCCATGCCCTAATAAAATTACCAAGACATTTGTTACATAGAGCATATTTTTTATTAGTGATATACGAAATGGACATTTCTCTCTCGTACCTGATTTATTTCATCAACGCAGCGAAATGGGACGCGCGACAATTCCTGCAGCGATATCATGTAAATGGCGGTGGTGACTGTTCTTTCGCCACCACTCTGAAAATGTCGTGTTAGTTCCTGCAATTCGTCCGAGTCACGAAATTTCACTTTAATCTTTAGACCGTACTGATCGAAATCCAGCTGAAATGATATTATGTTGTTAAATTATTAAGACAACAAAAGAGAATTTTTATTTTGCATGTATATTCATGTGTTTATGTTACTTACGACATTTTCACCATGTGAGAGTGTAACTTCGCCGGCACAGTCCATCTCGGAAAAGTAAGTACTGAAATTTTCATTAATCTTTTCAACCAATTGCTGCAATGGTTGTAACCACATTTCTTTCAGTTTCTCAATCTCTATCGTCATTTCCCGTAGCAGGGTACTCTTCTTTTTGACAAATTCAGTTAAGTTTTGAATGTCATTTTGCATTTCTTCATATTCACGCAATATCTGAAAATATAAAAGAAGATATTTCCCATTTTTCCGTTGTCGTCACGGTAAAAAGTAATATTTTCCATCATAAGCACACTTACATTCTCGGCGTCCACATTTTTCGCCATACAAAAAACTTTTGCTTGAGCGACATTTAATTCATTATTTATTTCAGCTATAGTAGCTGGTAATTTTTCAAAGGCTTTATTAAAAGGTTTAAACGCGTCATTTTGTGGACTAATATTATCGGTGGTTGCCAACGCGTCATTATACAGTCTTTCAGCTTCTTTCTTTAAGGGTTGGAATTCTTCGTCATGTCTCTTAAATAGCCTCTCTGCTATTTTAAATTTATCCTTTAAATCCTCGGCATTATTCTCCGTGAACATTAAAGTTTGTTGCAATAACGTAATTGCAAATTTAACCTCTACGTTACTTGTATTACAATTGAAACAGTCTTGTAAAATTGCATTGTATTCTTTATATATTTGCAATTGTTTCTTTATAATGGCCTGTAAATAATTCGTTAAATATAAATGTAAATTTTGTTGAATGCAAGTTTCTGAAGACAGCGTGCTACGTTGTTAAAAAAGAAGAAAAAATACCTTAATCTCTTTGGTATAGACTGCTTTAATATCATCAATATTCATCCGGCCGGATTCCAGCTGCTTAATTTTATCTGCAGCTATGTTTATTCTACTTTTTAATGCTTGAATATGGTGAATATTTTGTTGACATTTGGTCCTGTTCGCTCTATATTCATCTAGTCCTGTATTCTGCTCCCTTATTTTATTTTCTATTTCTTTAATTTGGATTGAGATTTCATTCTTTTTTTCTTGCAAGAGTTGTAATCTGTAAAATAATTAATATATTAATGTATTAATTAATTATAATTTATTTACTTCTTTATTTTTTGCTCAATTAATGTACCTTTCTTGGAACTTCTGTACTTTATGTTTGTCTAGAACAATAGATAGCAACCCATTTCCACTGACCCGCGATATTCTGGTCGATGTTTCGCGCGTATACTTGGACGTACTAACGAAGTATGCATTGTTTTCTATAAAAAACATTTTATTAAATCCATGGAAAATTTTCTGTCAAATTTGATTTTTGAATATATTCATATAAATATATTCACCACTAAAATAACAGCGTAAACTGCGAGGTATGTGACCTGTATTATTCTCGACTTCATTCGTTCCGACAGCGATATTGTTTAAGGAATACATCGAGACTAGATACTTCATTATAGAGGATGGTGCTTCAATGAGCTCCGATAAATAATGCTTGAAACCAAACTGTTTAATGTTTTCTATCGATATATTTGGTTGCATGGAAACTCTTTTCATTGGATCAGAATGAACTACATTGACTTGCAATTTCTGTTGGTCCCTAAATACTTCAGTAGCAGATTCATATCCCGTTTATCCTCACATGTGAATGCGATTAAATCACGAAATGGTATTATGTTTTCTAAATACTTGGCGTATGAAGCATCTTTTACATTAATATTGAGCAACATAGGCAGATGCACTGTCGCTGAAAATTTGTCTCGATTTTCTTTTAACCAAAGTACAGCTTTGTATGCGTTCATATCTCTTTGTTTCAACAGTTCTAATCGTTTCACATCAATATTAAGAGTTTGGAGTTCCGCTTGCACAGCTACATAATTTTAATTAACGTATTAATAGCAAATAAAAATAAAAAAATGTTCGATTAAATATAATATGGTTATTCGCAAATAAATAATAAACATATATATACCTCTCATTTCACGATTAATGTTTTCATCCTCGTGCCTCAATGTGGTACTTTTATTAGTAAGATTACTTATTTTTCTTCTATGTTCCTCCAGATTAGATACCATATTTTTCAATTGCTTCGTTAAACTTTCCTCTGAAATACGACAGGCATATTATTATTGTGGACACGTGTGGCTGTATGCGAAAGAAATCAACTCATAATTAACGAGTTCTGAATTCGATTCTGACCTCGTATATGTCTTTTTGTTTAAAATTGATCAGTTTCGAGAATTGTCATATACATTGATATACATTGATATGTATATGTTTTGTGAAATAATGTGTACTGTGTTATTAGTTATTACTATTCATTCAGATTAAATTAAATCACTAATTACAAACCTGATCCCATTTCAGCAACCGTGAGAGAAAAATCGTTCTCAAGTTTGCATTTCTGCTGTTGGGCGAGATTAATTTCTTGATCTCGAGTCTGTTCTGCTTGAATGTTTCGAGAACATGTGTTTTCGGCATCTTTGATCTTATTTATAGAGCAAAGAATTTGATTCATTACGTTCCTTAATTTTGTACTCTTAGCCTGAACTTCACGGTTCTAGAAATACATAATTTTAGATTATTAATGTAAGTTGCTATTAATTGATTAATTGATAATAAATCAATTTTTTAAAATAATGTTTATTTTATTATATGCTATACTTACGTGATTATTTAAGGAACTTTTTAACGCTGTCATTTTAGACTTGTCTTTTTCAATTTTTATATTTAATGGTTTTAGTTCCGCCTCTATTGATTGCATTTCTTTTACTGCCTGATCTCTGACTTTTTTTGACTGTATAAACGTGTACAAAAGTATAAATAAATAATAAAAAATATCAATAAAAAAATTTATCATTTAACAATTTACAAAATTTTTGTATACCTCCACTAATCTTCTTCGCATTTGATCGTACAGTATCCATGCCTTTTTTTGTTTCAACGTTGCAATCTTTTTCTTTATCAACTTTTTCTCTTTTATGGTCGCAACAATTTGTTGTAATCCATCACGCCTCTGAATTTTAGATTCCAATAATTGTTTTGTATTGGTTACATCAACCTCTAATTTCTTGAAACTGGTTCTTAGTTCCTTCAATTTTTGATGATACTCAAGGAGTTTTGGATCCCCAACAGATCTTTCTGTATTTTCTAACAATGCTTGAGCATCCATTTTTGAGAAATCTTGTACCTTATCTTGCGGCAAAAATTGACAAAGATTGTCAACCTATGAAAAAAAAAAAACATAAAGTAATCGAGCGACCCATTTTATATCAGAAATAATATAAATAATATAAGCCAAAATGATTCTGCACCCAAATAGCATGGATGTTCCAAAATATTGCTACCTGAGTATGTCCCAATAATAGGTATTTTCTCAAGCAATTAAGCGATGTCTACAATGAGACTTAAAACTTAGGATTTAAGAAAATTGACCAATTACAATCGATTATTCTTTTCACGTGAGATGAATAATTGACTGAGTGGTCAATTTTTTTAAATCTTAAGTCTTATTAGAAGGAAACGCTTTAAAGAAAGGTTATAATGCAAAATTTTATGCCCAACTGTTTAAAGGTCCATCTACAATAAGATTAGTAAGTCATAAGCTGTAAGAAATTGACCAGAAATCACAGCCAATTATTCTTCTCATATTCGACTGTGATTGATCAATTTCTTACGGCTTATGACTTTAACTCTTACTATAGATGGACTTTAACAGATGGTTAAAGGCACTCGGACAAATCCAATTCAAGAGCTAAGTGAAAAATAATATATAAAAGACAAATATATACCTGAATATTAAGTTTGGCTGTGAATTTTTGAACAGTTTTGAAACTCGATTGGATACCATTAATCATCCATGTCGACTTTCCATCTTTAGTAAATATCCTAGTTACTATAGAATCCTTTTTCGTGCCATTTTTTAGATGAATTTCTATTTTCGCCGTATCGCGTCCATACTTCACGTATTCTCCTATGTGAAGGGCTCGCCCAATGATATTTGGCCTGCCTCCTAGACCGAGAACTATAGCGGCGACGATGGTGGATTTGCCAGAACCATTAGGTCCGACGATAACATTGAGATATCTTTCAGGCTTTACTTTCGCCTTGTCATAAGTGCTGTTAAAAGAAGAAGATTGGAAATATATATCAATTTAGAAATTATATGACAAAGTAATTATATCTAATAATATAAAGTAATATCTAATTCAATATTAAATATTGCGTAATAAAAGTTATATAATTTCACATCGAATAAGATTTAATATATTCTTTACTCACACAAAATTCTCCATGTATATAGAGGTGATAATTCCCTTTTCCATGCTGTCCTTGTCCACGTTGCTGCTCATGTTGATAGGTTAAATGTCAACGAGGTGTTTTACGTACGTAAAGGATGTAAATATTAAGGAACGTAGAACGCAACCAATGAAGTGCGCCGATAAGAGAGTGGAGATATCAGTTAATCCGAAAAGTGAGATAACTGATTTTTTCTATTATCCATTTCACACTCTTATTCATCTCACACGTATAGAATGCCGCCAATTCTGCTAAACAAAAGACACCTGGTAGTGAACGGTTAGGTTAGGTTGTAAGGTTTGTTCGTGTTGCATATACTTTTTGCACTTTTTGTAATTCACTAAAGCGCAAGCAATCCAGCAGAAAAACATGTATTGTGTGCCGCTGGCTTAACTATCTCGTCTTTTAAGTGCAAATATTTTTGAGCATTTCAAACAACACAACAAATCTAATTATATATACATACTCAATAGAGGTTTGTTCTTTATTGTTGCACTAGAATGCACGAGAATGCACTGGAATGCAATGGAATGCACTTTCCTTCTCATCATTTAAATTTCAAACATATTATATATATAGATATTTAATTCATTTACAGAAAGTATAAACTAGCTTAGCTATAAAAAACAGACCTTACATATGTAGTCTGTGTGAGTACGTTAATACGTTTCAGTATACATACATACATACATACATATGCTCTACTGATGTCTTTCTTTTCTCTTCAAGCCAACCAACAGACAGATATTACTCGACCATAAATGTTTTTCACTTCCGGTTTATGTGCTTGCCTTGATGAATCAAGTTTATTGATATTTCGTAGACAAATTGTCGATGTAATATCTAAAAAAAAAAAAATCTATGAAATTGTAACAATTTTTTAATTGTTTTAAAAATTAATCGGATACAACACATAAGAAGTAATTAATCAAACTGATATTAAAATTTGTCTTTCTCCTTCTATAGTTTCGTGTCAGTGTGACATACCTTTTATTATCTCCTTTGGTTGTGTACAAATCCGGTGACACGTTGAGTTATAGCGAAATATCTTGACTGCATTAATTATTCTCGAGTGTTTCCAGCACGAAACAGGCCGAATCTCTCAAAAACTTCTTTTTACATCGAGACTGTTAATTTTGCAGGAGATTTGAGACGAAACCGTAATTTTCAAAAACCTGTAAGAAAAGAAAAAGAAAAGTGTCTTAAAAAAAGAACGTTCATTATCTTCTTTGGGTCTTGATAAAAAATTTCGATATTTTGTTGGAATAAATTTGAAAATTATGCAAAATGGTGAGTTAATGGCATTCTAGTTTTTTCAATAATTCAACAATTCAACATTAGTTTCTAGTTCTTGAGCCGTATAATTTCGCATAAAAAATATCAAGAATACTTAAAAGATGTATTTTATAATAATATATTCCTAATTATATACACATTTTGAAGAATTATGTCGCTTTAAATGTTCCGATCCATTTAACACTATTGGAGATTTTATTATAAACTCTTGACCAATAATTTAAATTTATGCAGATATACGTGTATATATATATATATATATATATATATATATATATCTGATATCTCAATGTTTTTTCTCAGATAGACTTTCAAGGACTCAGGCTTAAGGACTCTGCATAAGCATAACGCGCTGCATTTTTATGCATGAGTGCAAGTGCTTTTTGTTATATATCGCAGCATGATTATTATCGCTGTATTATACACGTAACGGCAAGCAATAAATAAGATATTTTATGAAGTATTGTATGTGAATAACGTTTAAAGATGTTTAAAGCGTACTCAAGACGATAAATGTAACCGAGCTAAACGGAATTATGTGAAACGTTCGCAAAAATTTTGCACATAAACCTTTCATTGTATGGAAAATATTTATACACAAATACGTAATAGCATATGATGAATATTTATTTATGTTGAGTAACTTTTAGATCTTAACGGAGAGAGTGCTCTCAAATAAATGCGTTCATACATACGACCGTGCCTTTATACTTTGAAAAATATGGGACAATCGTAAACATTACACAAGCACGTGTAAAAAAGAAGCCTTAAAAAACGTTTATCTTCGCGTGTTTTTTTGCATATTAAACAAAAATTGTTTATCGTTTGCAACAAGAGATTTTACTTAACTATTAATTAAAATGTATATATTAATCTTTTATTACCCAACAATTCGCGCATCTATTTTAAATTTCCTGGGCTTTAAATAAAACAAAAGTGTATGAAAATAAGAAAGAAGACGTATAAGTATAATATAAGAGATAGTCGACCGCGAGGTAAGCTAAAGAGTCAAATAAATACGCTATGTCTGATTCCATGATTACCTTTGATCTGAAAGAAATGTCTTTTCTTTCATCTACGGATTCTTTGATCAATTTGAACGTCTCGACAATTTCAAGAAGAATTTCAAGAGTAAAAAAAATCAACTCTTAATTGATCAAAGAATTCGTAAGTGAAAGGATATACGGTAAACTAAAGATACCTTAAGTGCACAATTATTTAAATTGTGTTATCGATCTTTTCGATTAATCCTAATGTCTAATTGATTACTTTTATCCAATACTTCAATTTAAAACATTTAAAGTTATTTTTGTTTTAATTTAATTGTGTTCGCGCGATATAATGTAAACTTAAGATACCTTAAATGTATATAATATATATATTTAGATTATATTATCGATCTTTTCAATTCATCTTGTGTCTAATTGATTAGTTTTATCTAATACTTTAATTTAAAAAAATTTAATTTATTTTTGTTCCAATTTTTAAGTCAATTGTGTTTGCGGGCGCAACACGTAATACGATGTTTTTCATCGAAAGGTACGAGCGTCATTGTGTCGAAAGACGTAATGTTTAACTTTCAAACAACTCGGAAACAACTCAAGCGATCTGTTTGCACTTCGAGCTTCGTTTATCAACGATAATTTGATGAGGTTTCGTTGAGACGTAATGCGGTCGGCGCATTATCATAATGACAACATTCGCCACCCCATTCCCCTGTTGTCGCTAAAATACAAAAGACCTAGCCGTCCTGCGATAATTTGTTGCCCGCTATACTATGCCATACCTATTAACAATTTCATCAGTCGGGGGAATATGTTCGATTAATTCTAATCTAGATAATAGCATTGTCCTTGCGTCATAACTCGGTTTATCAACATGTTACGTTTGTTACTCACGCGCCTTTCACGATATCAGTGTTTCTCAAAAGACGCACAGCGCACTAATTTAATGCGTAATATTATACATGTACAAATTGTTTTGTGTTTGATTTATTATATTTATCGTCTTCGCAAAAGACTTGTGAAAACGATCTGCAATTCATCTATAGATTGAGCTCGAAAAACAAATATTGAGGATAATATATTTTTCGATCTAAACTATAATAGATACATATTGATAGACTTATGCATTGAAAATAAATGAATAAATAATTATATGTAAAAACATTAGATCTCGAAATCGTGGTATATAGATGCCAATCTTTTAATCAGAATAGAATACGAAATTAGAATGCATAATTTAATGTGCGGCTATTATTGATCTTTGAGAATTAATGTATCCACGTGTGGATACTGCGCAGTCGATGCTTCCTGTTTCGTGTGTGCACACACGATTCGCCTTGCGCGCGACCTAGATGCGCAAGATGATGGGTCGCACATGCCGCAGCAATTACACATCATTACTTTATGCTGCATCTCCCAGGGGTGACAAGTGCCGATCGAAGAAGAACACCATGGTTACTTCACGGCTAACAAATGGTCCTGTCGCCGCTACTCAACAAGGCAGCAACTGCCCGCAGTTTTGAACTTGAACTCGCCGGGTTTAGATCACGAGGATAGTCCGTGTGTCCAGGCATTTACCGTGGAAAGACGAAGGCCCTCGCGATCGCTTTCGCATCAATGCCAAAGTGTACCGTTAATGCGATTAATAATTTTCAGAATGCAATCTACGATCTAGGTCGTTGTTCTCCCATGACACTCCGCTGATCATGTTCAGTCCGTCACCCAAGTCCCAAGGACGCGCCAAGGGCAAAGTGCGGAAAAAATGGCGGCCGTTCCACGCGACGGACTTTCAATCCTTGATGTTTCCCTGCTTCATTTTCTGCCGCGTACTCGGAGTTTTCCCGTACAAGGTGAACGCCTCGGTCTTCGAGTTTTCCAAAGTGCGCTACATCGTGTCGACCGTCGTTATAGCCGTCGTCAGCGTTTACGGGCTGGCGATACTCTACGAGATCGACATTACCGCGCACATCAAATACGACAGCATACCCGGATCCCTTCAATGTAACTGCTACTACGTACTCGGCGGCTTCATAGCGATCGTCACGTACATCCTGAGTAAACCGCGGATGCATTTGCTCCAGACCACGCTCGAGATCTCTTCGAGACTGCCCCCGGAAACGTACAAGAAGATGTCCAGGGTGATCCACGCCAAGGACATTATCGGCTTCTTGTTCCTACTCGGGCAACTGTCGAATTGTAACTCCGAGACGTATGGCGATATCTTCCTCAAGGTGTTGGCGACGTACCTCACCCTGCTGGTGTTTCAAATGGATATGCTGTACATGAATTGCGTTTGTGTACTGAAGGCCTGCTTCAAACGAATCAACGACAATCTGGTGAATCTGCGAGAGCTCGTGGTGGGCGACGAGCCGCATCTCCTCAGGCGCATCTATCACGAGCAGAGAAATCCGTTTCTGCTGATGGAGCTGAAAGCCCTGAAGAAGCGACATTTGATAGTCAGCGATACCGTGCAGACGCTAAACGCGATTTTCAGTCTGCAACTTCTCGCCACCATAGTCATGACTTTTGCCGAAATCACTTTCAGTTTGTACTTCTACATAGTGCAGTGGCAAGGGGGCGTAGCCATTATCGATCTGCAGAAACAGATCTGGTACGCGTACTACATCACGTCCGTAGCGTATTATTCTATAAAAATTGCGTTTATAGTGTGGGCCTGCGATACCGGCAAGGATCAGGCCCTGCAGATTGGCACCACCGTTCACGACGTGCTCATCAGTACTAGCGATAAGCAAATCAAAGATGAGGTAGTAAAAAAAAATATAATAATTTAATTAACGTTTGGTTGTCACACTTTTTTCAATCAAGTTTATCAATTTGTCAATTTTTAAAAGGCTGCCGTTTAAAAACTAACAGTTTAATTGGATTCGCAAAAATTCTCAACTAGAGTTCGAACATTGTAGAATGTATTCTGATTATATAAAATTTAAAATTAAAGTGGCATCATATTGAAAAAAATTCTTAAAAGAAAGTAAATTTTAAAAAAAGCATTTCCCAGTAAAAGTAAAAAGCTGGGGTCATTTTGTCAAGTGTGACAACCAAAGGTTAATAGTAATTTTTAATTTCTTTTTACAAAAATGTTCTTTACGACGTTTTTTTTTTTATACAATGGATCTGTCGGTTACATAATTGCGTTTCTAATCCTATATTTAATTATTTTGATGCAGTTGCAGCTGTTCTCCTTGCAAGTATTGCATCGCGAAAATACGTTCTGCGCGAAGGGTCTCGCTGTGGACGCAACGCTTCTCACTGCGGTAAGCACTCGATCATTTGCCTTAATTTATTACATCCATTGTTGACTTTGTGATTTTGCTTGTAGATAGTGGGTAGCATCACCACATATCTATTAATTTTAATACAGTTCTTGGTCACGTCGAACTCTTGCGCAAAACCTGCAGCCAATATTACACAAGTAGTCTAATTATATATAAAATAAATGATGTAATAAAAAAAACACGATTTTAAAATACTTTTATTTATCACGGTACGGTAGAATATCGCGCGATATTCTATACTTATATGTATGTATACAAAAAAATTTGGAAATGTTTTCACGTAAAGGTGAACAGTTTAAGAATAAATTTTTAATAAGTTTTATTTATTTAAGTGCATCGTGTGAGACGTAATAAAAATATTTCTGAAAAAAATGTCGCTTCAGATTCATTAAATTCATCATGTAATAGATTAAGCTATTAAATATTCTTGCATTATTAAAATTAAAATGAATTGATGCTTATATCAGTAACTCGGTTTGGAAATTCATTTCCAATAGGCAAAAATATACATAAAAACAATATTTTAATTTCTATCTCTGGCGATCATATCACACGTCCTTCTACCATGATCAGCGGCAGTTTAGTAACACGGATGTGAATAAAAGAGCAATTAAGTTTTCGTTTCATTGACGCCACATTGGATGGCGATATCAGCGCGGAAATTCAGCGATAAATGCAATCTTCGAGGTCTAAAATTACATCTCAACGCTCTGCGCTACAGGAGAATGGACGTACGCGCTATAACAAGCTGCAACGCACGCAAGTAATTTTCAGGCATTTTCTTCGCGGTATCCTCTCGCCTTATCGTCAGCGAGTGACCCGCGGAAGTGACTTTTGACCCTGTCTGTCGCGCCTTGCCATTGCTAAATCGTAAATTCGTAATTTTGCTTGCCCTCGAATTTTTTTGCACTGCAAATGTATATTTCGTAGCTCGAAGTAATACAGATTTATCGCGCTTCGTCGATTCGACGTTCGTTATCTGAGATTTATAGAAAGAAAAAAAGGAACGAAGATACGGCAAATATACGGATTGAAACGGATGTTTAAATGAGCTTGCTTGTGGAAATGTGTCATGCAGAACAAAAAAATAATTTATCGTAGATTATTATAGGTACAATAATAAAAAAAATACGTCGCGTCTGCCGCGGTTTGTACCGTTTAACAGCAATCCGCTGGCGACGGCGACGGCGACGGCGGCGGTGGCAGCGGCGGCGGCGGCGGCGGCGGCGACAGCGGTGTCGGCCTCGAAACTGAGTTTTCATTCAGTGCGGAGGCATGTGGGGTGTAGCCGCGGATCGTGATCTATTGTCGTCAAGGTTAACGTTCTACTGCGCGATAATATCCGTACATAGTCGCAAAGGTTAATTTAGACTAAAAGGCTAAATGCGTTAATGATTTCAATCGGACTTTAATGCCGCGACGCGCGGCTCGGGTCACGGCAAGCGGACGACAATATTGTTTATCGCACGCGCGAGAACCGCGCAAATACTTGGGAAAAAATTTCTCCACGGATCATCCCTCGACCCTCCTTAACCCCTTTCTCTCCCCCCCCCCTCCTTGCTTCTTACTGTCTCGTACATTCTTTCGATCTCGTTGCTTTTCGTCCGGAATTCGAAAAGCAACGAAATCGACGAACGTAAAGTCGAGTCAAATTATTTCGGCACCGCGCGACGACGACGTGTCGTTCGTCACCTCTGGACATCTCGGTCCAGACAAATATATTTCGGCGCGAACTGAATAGGACTGCCATTATGTAACAGCATGCTGATGCAAATAAGCGTTGTCTCCATAGAAAAGCGATGTGTAAAAACTGATGTCAATAGACTGTAGACAGAGGTCAAATAAAGGTAAAGTAACAAAATGCTGCGGAAATTTTCGTTAATATTGCGTTACATAATGCAACGATAAATAAATAAAATAAACTGGACAAAACTTCTTCCCCCCCAAGAGTGTGTTAATAATAACTAGTCTATCATTATTATAATTGCATATTAATTACTTTTGCATCTTGATAAGAAATGTAAATCAATAAAGAGAAATAATGTTTCTCAAAACGGTGCTATATTTATACAAAAATGTCCTGGGCTTTCTCGTCGGCCTTTAACATTGAAAGAAAGAGCTGAACTTGCGATAAACGATAGCCTCTCGCGATATTCTCGCTAAAGAAAGATCGGTTCCAATTTCGTCAAAGAATTCATCGATGAGAGAGACACGTTGAATCTGGGACACACTCCGTGCGCCGTATATACGTGTCAAGTGATTCTACGTGAAACCATGATAGCGCGTGTTGCGCGGCAGCGCATATGGTGCGCATGTAGCGCGAGGAGGCCGCGTTTGTTCGCGAATGTACGGCGCGATAACTGCATCCGTATCGATCGTCCGCGTACCACGCGAAACGAGATCTCACGCGTCAGCGTGCGTACCTGTCGCGATTCTTTCAGGCAGTCCGGAATTCCGTTCTTTTGTCTAATTCTGACGAGGCTGCGGGGAAAGAGGTGTGTGTGTGTGTGTGTGTGTTAGAGAGAGAGAGAGAGAGAGAGAGAGAGGAGAGAGAGAGAGAGAGAGAGAGAGAGCGAGAGAGAGAGAGAGAGAGAGGGAATGGAGTATCGCGCGGTGGAGCAGCGCGCGCGTAGGCGATCACGCGATTTCGCGATCGCATCTCATCGCGCGCCGCGGCGCCTCTGACCGATACGCAATTGTCAGTGCCGCGCCAACCGCCGCGCCGAGTGAACGCCAGGGAGTGTTGCTCTTGCGCGCACCGCTCGTCACCGAATATATCGCTCGCGAAACGGAAACTCGCTGTTCGGAGAACAGCAGCAGCCGCAGTAGATTCTTCTCTCAGCCGAGCGACGTAGTGTTCCTTGACGCGAGTGACGGAGAAGACGTGCTCCGAAAGCAACGGAGACGTCTGAAAGTAAAAAAGAAAATAAATAAATAAAAAGGTTTAAAGTGCTGATAAAATTGACGGGTCACGCACGCGGACGAATGCGCGATCTCTACGCTCGTTAATGGACTAATTCGAGGAATTGCGAGTGTATCGAACTTGTACACACGATTAGATAAAGGCGCAAAAGGCGGCGAGTCCGCTGTGTGAAGTTCAGTGGATGCGAGTTCGCGGGCGGGCGCCGTGCGACCTGGTGATCCATGCGAAAACGCGGCCTTGCCCGCGGATCTCCGATGCCGCTGTCACCGTGTCACGGGTTTCCCTCGTACCCGCGGTAGCGAGCACGGCGACGAGATCAGGGATATAAACAGGCGGACCACGTAATCGGCGTGCGATCGGCGCATGTGAGATGCGGCGATTTTAATTCCCGCGCGAGAGGAGCCGTCGTCGATCTACGCCGCGGCTTGGTGCTTAGAGAGGTGCAAGGGCGCCTCTCGAGATCGATTCCCGTTCGACGAAGTAAGTTATCGGCATAGCTTTCATATTTCGCCTCTCGCGAGACGCAACGTTTCCCGCAGCACGCGCTGCAATCCGAGAAATTCCTGTCACAACGCTTAGTTTTTTCCACGGCCGTTAAGTTGATATTGCGATGCTAAATTTTGTCACATGTAACCGCAGGCGCATGAAAAAAGTTTAAGTTGTTTTTTTATGCAACACAAACGGTAATTAGAGCTTATCGTCGTAATGAGTAGTTAATTATCGAGCACTATCGAAACTTTTGGTCATCGCGTCAATGTGATGTTTATTTCTCTTTATTTACACTACCGCTCAAAAGTTTCGACACACTTCCTGTTCAGAAATTTCATAATACTAAAAAATAAATTATGTGAATATTACACAGTTTGAGCTTTAATGATAGAAGTTGAAAAGGCATTTTGTGCACGAAAGTTTCTTCAAGTCAAAGTTTCTTCAAGTGTTTTAATCAAAGATTTGTGTTTAATTTAATGCTTAATTTCTACGAGAAATATTGTTTACCATTCTTTTATTATTAATCGTCATGACATTCAAATATTCATCGGTGTTTAGCGCAAAATGTGAAATCGATATTTTTTTTTTTCAACCGATATACATGACATTTATTTATTTGAGAAATGTGCTTATAATTTTGATTTATAATTATTTTTTAGCTTTGTTGAACACTTCCGACTGAAAATAAGAGAGTATACCATACAATTTTAGTCCATTGAAAAGTGGAATTGTCAGCAAAAATGGCTGAAACTTTTGAGCGATAGTGTAGTTCTAATAATATTATCTATCTAATATATTAAGTTGATGACTTTTTAAAGAGGCTACTTATTATTTTCTCTGTCAATACATTGTTAAATAAATTCGCTTATCTTTGCAAAATTTCACGAACAACACTTTTGTTTGCAAATGAATATTCTACGATGACTTTTTTGCATTTAAAAAATTGCTGTTATTAAGAAAACCGACAACACGGACAATAAAACGGAAGATTGGGTTCGTGCTATATTTACGTCGGCGCGACTCTTGTATCACCAATCCTAATCGAGACGACGTGCCAAGAAATGTGGGTAAAGCATTTGGCGCACTTTGCGGAATTGTTAGGGCACTGTCTCTCGTCATAAATAAGTGCGTGACTCGTCTAACTCATATAGAAGTCACGACGATCGCCCGCTCTAATACATGGGAAATTTTAAGTCTCGCTTTCAGCGAAAATTCATTACCACGGGACCATTACATAAATCACAATTCTAGACAACGCGCAAAAATACATATATTCAAATCGAGTTAAAAATAATTCGAGAAAACCTTTTCTTTTGGCAGAGCCGAAATAATAAAGCTGAAATAATATAAACTCACAATAGATAATATAAACTAAAAGGAAATAAATTAGAAATATGATTCAAACGCCCGCTATAAATTGAGCGAATAATTAATACAAAAATGAGATCGAAAAATTCAATTGAGGTTTTCACGCGCGAATCCGCGCTGCGGCGGAAGTCAGTGAACTTTTTGCAGAGTATACGCGACGCGCGATAGACATGACGTTTCCGTTAGACGCGCTCGACCGCGCAATACCGTCTCTGAGTTATTACTCGGTGTTAGCAGAGACTAACGAGAATTTATGAACGCGACAATGAGTCGTCTAGTCTTCTCGACAATACGCGACAAGTGTTTCTCATACCATTGACTCTGGCCACACTCTTCTATATATCTCAAATTGTTCTCTCGAGAATCGCTTTATCCACTTGGCCATTCAATAATGTTACTCTTGAGAGAAACGTAATTTATTTACTTTCTGTATATTTTGCCCTTGCTCTCTTACAAACTAGATTCTAATAATCCGCCATCTCTTTCTCTCAAACTTTTTTTCCATTTCAGACAGTAGCATGTAGTTGAAAAAATTAAAGTTAAAAAGAAACTGAAAGACGTTCCTCCATTTATTCATTTTCTTTGGGTTTCTTCATTTTTCTTTAATTTTCTTAATGAAAACTTCGGATTATTTCTCGCCGCCCTAGTTCTCTACATATCTCTCTGCAAATAAACAAATCACACGGTTACGGGCCAACGTCAATCATTATTTGATTCGCGCTTATTGCTCGATCCATGTTTATCACCGGGTAGACCTGACGTGACGTGCATAGCGGCATAACAGACGCGAAGTGCATTGAAAATCGCTTGCCGAAGACGGATTGAGTCAACTTGTGCTAATATTGCCGTTCGATAAATTCGGCGCGAACAAACAGTCGGCGACGACGTCGCTCGATTATCATCAGTGGCGAAACTTACGTGTACATACGACGAGATATTTTAATTCTCGTCCAAGGTTGCCATTGCAACCTATATGCGCGGCGCGCCGAGGTGCGATCATTGTAGAAACCGTTTGAATGAAAGGTGCGAATTCGTGCTCCGTGTGTTTTGACACGAGCCGCCGCGTTCGACGAATTATCATTTTCGTCGGCGCGGGAACGGCAAATAAGTGATTTTACGAATTGTTCGATACGCGCGTGTGCGTATGTGCGTACGTCAATGCGGCATCGTATTATGTGCCGTTTATCATCGTCCGTCGCATTTATTATCCGCCGTGCGATGGCACGCGCGCTATAAAAGCGTGACGATTAGCAGTGTGCCAGAGAGCGATGTGTTATACCCGCTCCTACGCGCGGTTGCCTCCACGGTGGACCGAAATAATATATATTCATCTTTTTTTCTCTCTGAAATTTTACGATTATAATAATTTTCGTGCACATTAACGCAATAAAGTACAAATTCCATTTGTACAAAAATATCGATAAGTGCATGTGTATAGCATCTTTTTCCTACCGTCTCTCTCTCTCTCTCTCTCTCTCTCTCTCTCTCTCTCTCTCTCTCTCTCTCTCTCTCTCTCTCTCTCCTTCTCTCGGAGCCTCAATTGCGACGCAATTCGGAGCACTCGGACGTGCAAGGAGCCTCGACAAAGTTTTCGATTCGCGACGATACTTTAGTGCCGGCGCTACCTTTCATTCCCCAGGCGGAGGCATTAATTATGCGGGAGGAAAGAGCCCGCCGCGTATGCACAACGAATACACGCGTGTGCGATTTGCACGCAAATGGCGACCCCGTTGACATCATGAGGCGTACATTTTCTGCGTTCTTGACTTTCCTTGTGATCCGCACCGCGGGTCTGATCGAGACCCGTGCGTTCGCTTAAAGCATCAAAAAATACAACGCAAAATATAGTAACGCAAGTCTCACTGATTGATGTCAAATATTTTTAGAGCACAGTTACAGTTTTCATTTTCCTATAATTTATTAAATTTCCGTACAAAAATTATTTAAATTCCTCACGACGAAAAGTAGAATGGATGAGCAGAAAATGGGAGAAGGTTAAGAGAAGACAAACGCTGCCGCTGCGAAAGTGTCTATGTTTCTAAACCCGATCATCGTTCGACCTCCCCCCCTCCCCTTCCCCTTGAGACGCTGACGAAATCACGATTGTCGCGTTTTCGATTCGACGAATGATTTTCGCGCACTTTCTCTCGTCGCCTCGAGAGAGCGAACGAATCCATTCATGAGAGAGCGGAAAAAGATAATAATTTTCTACGAACGTACAAGAGTGCCGCGCGACGTAAGACGCACGATGACAAGTTGTTTTTCTCGGGCTACGTAATGGCCACGATGCACGGCGTGTTACAGCACGGAGATAAAATCGGATCTGGGTTGCGCCGCAAGTCGCGAGTGCGTGAGTCAGTCGCCGCTCGCGTCGTCCGCTGGAACAAACAGAATTATTAGGCTGATGCACGAATAACGGCTGCTTCGGCATTGACCGATGCATATTTTTCTACTAGATAAACGTTTCCACGAAACCCATTACGTAAGAAGTTCGGTAAAGTCTTTGTGAGAGAATGTGCGTGATAGTATAGTTTTTTCTCTCTCCCTCACAATCAGAAACTTTCTTTCGGGGAAATTAAGCCGCGTTATGACGTAATCGACTTATCTAATTAAATTCGTTAAGTATAAACAACGGCGAAAGAAACGACAGTGAGATCCATTAGTTTTTTATACCTACATTATGAATAACCACTATTTGTTTCTACATGTTTCTTTATAAAAAAAATATACAATGCAAAATTTATATATATATGTATATATATATATATATGTATGTACGTATGTAAAGAATGTTCTTTACTTTAAATTAAGGCCCAATAAATGTGTGCAATTAATGATTCATTTAAAAAATTCTAGATTAGAATTATTTTACAATAATAAAGGAGTTTGTAAATGCAATGTACAGACATTTATTTCGATGAACACACTATGTATGTAGCCATTTACACTTCCGACTTACCGCCCGCTGCGAGAAATTGACGAGCATTCGTTCGATCTTCGTGTCGAGTCACTTTCATTAGCGCAGCGCCTTAGTCAAGATCTTAATCGTCGGTTATGGCGTGTTATTAAATGCCGATTATCGAAGCAGATCGCGAATAGTAAGAAAATTATTTGCTCTATGTGGATACGTAATTACTTAATTACTCTTACATAAAGATAGTTATTCTATTCGCCTAACAAAATAAGTGGAGTTATCGATCATGTTAATACGAATTTCGCTAGTTAACTAATTATTTTGTGAAATGCATAATCAATTTTCTTCTCTCATCGGAATTACCATATTCAGAAACTTTGTGGAGTTTAGTCTCACCGGCAAGCACAAATATTTTCGATCTCGATAATTATGCGCATTTATGAGTGTGGAATGGCTGTGTCGGTTATCACGCATGACGCGACACTTTTTTCGACGTATATCGACGTAAACAAGTATAATTTTTTTTCATGAGCGCCGCGACGACACACACTCACATATACTGATAATTATGCGATATATACACACATCAGGGATTCCTAAGTTTCCAATAAAGATGCAATCGCGCATGTGTTAAAAAATATTTCTGCCATAATGTTCTACAGTTTACGAGACACATGAAATTTAATTTCTTCGAAATGTTTAATATAAA